TATGCACGTATAATGCCAGAACACTCGACAGTTGCAGAAATCCACGCCTTTCATGTAGACGCAGATCGCATCAAATTTCATGTGATCGTATTACAAGAAACAAAAATCAAGACCGACATATGCCAACTAAACAAAGGGACCACTGTGATCCGTGGAGAAAAGTTCTTGTCACGAAACGTCGGCGGCGTAGGCTTTGTCGTCCACCCGTCCATTGTCCATCTCGTCGACTCATACGAGATCCTTTCCCTCGAATAACCGTCCTCCGTCTTCAACTGTCGCATCATAAAAAAATCACTATCATCAACTGCTATCACCGACCGACGAAGCTCATGAGCACGAATTAAATGTGTTCTACTATCTGTTGGAGGAAGTCAACCGCAATGATAAAGCATATCATAAATTTGTTGTCGGAGACTTCAACGCCAGCATAGGAAAAACCAACGAGAGCGAATACAGGATCGGAAATTTCGGATTAGGAGAAAGAAATGAGAATGGGAACCGTCTAGCAGAACTCCTGCTCGCATTACCCGTCTTTGGAAACTCGTTTTTCCAGAAGAAAGAAAGCCGCCGCTGGACATGGGAGTCTCTTAACAGCATGACTCATGCGGAGATCGACCACATTCTGACAAACAGATGGTTCCTACTTGATACATCGATAGTCCCGTCATTCTGTACTGGTTCCGATCACCGCCTTCTTCGCGTGAAGATCCGACTCAGCCGCAAGCTGGAAAAGAACTCTCTTCATGGGCCACGAGGAAAAAGTCTAGCTTTATACGACGAGAACATTCTGAACGAAGTCTTGTCCAAATGTGACTGGCAGATTAAAGAAGACCCGACCGATGACTGCGAGCTGCTTGTCGAAGGACTGAAAACCCGTGCCGAATTCGCCTCAGTTCCCCAAGCAGGAAGATCGGATCGCATCTCCATCACTACTAAGGAGTTGCTCGAAAAGAGAAGGAAACCGAAGCTTGATCTTACTGCAACACGTTTAACATGGCTAGTAATAAATGCCAGCTGCAGAAGAGTTTTGCAAGAAGATATACAACGGTAAAAGGAGAAGAAACTACTGGAGCCAGAAGGGAAAAGAAACAGTCTGAAAAAATACCGTCGGGACTTGTGTGATTATAATGTTCCGCTGTCAACCCTGATGAACGAAGATGGGATCGTCAAAATTTCCCGCCATGATTTGGAATTAATAGCGGAAAATACACCAACTTTTCCGTTCAACAATTCCCGTGCCGGACCCTAATATCCCTGCTGGAGAAGAACCAGCTGGAATTCTTCCGTCGGAGATTCGTTTACTAGTTCTCGCAAATCATATGACATTCTACCTTCAAAAGGAAAAAATCCCAAACCAGTGGAGGACGTCGCGCACGGTCATCCTGCCCAAGAAAGGAGACCAAAGGGATCCTCGTAACTATCGTCCCACATGCTTGTTAACTGTACTCTGCAAGCTCTTCACGAAGATTATCCTCTTGCGCATATCAAGGACATTGGATGAGGCGCAACCTGTGGAGCAAGCAGGCTTTTGAAAAGAGTTTTGCTGTATGGACCACATCCAAACCGTGCCCAGGGTCATGAACGTTTGTCGGGAATATTACTTGCCTTTAGTTTTAACCTTTGTCACTTCGAAAAAGCGTTTGACAGCGTCGAAACGAACACCATCCTATCAGCGCTCGGCGACCAAGGAGTGGACCCGTCCTACGTACATAATAACTCTGTACGACTGTTATCGGAACTGCACTACGGAAATACAGCTTTTCCATCGACCTCTTACAATGCCCATTGGAAAAGGGGTTCGACATGGCGGCACAATATTGCTAAAGCTGTTCAGTGCCGCGCTGCAGTGGATAATGAGGTCACTCAAGTGGGATGAGAAAGGCATACGTATTGATGGAAAATTGCTATCAAACTTTCGTTTTGCCGACGACATTATCATCTTCTCAAGAAGTACTGGCGAAGCAGAGGTGATGATCAACGACCTGAACGAAGCGTGGAAAAAGATCGGACTTCGCATAAGTCGAAAGAAGGCCCAGTTCATGAAAAAACCACGGTGCGAAGGCGAAAAAATTGAATTGGATGTCTCTCTCATTGCAGAGACCATCTCGTACATATACCTTGCGCGATCAATGAACATGGAAAACAACATGAAGGAGGAACTAGATAGAAGAATGGGAGCAGCTTGGGCCGCATTGGGGCCTCTCAAAGAAACCACCGAACTGAAGGACCCGAAAATCCGCGCTCATCTCTTTGATTCTACGGTCCTCCCAGCGCTCTGTTATGTTGCAGAAACGTGGGTTGATACTTCAACTACGTCAAGAATGCTTCGCACTACTCACAGAGCGCTTGAGCGATGTCTTTTGATATATAACCGGCACTCTCAATATCTAGCTGGAATGCGAAGCTCTGACCTTCGAAATCGGTCACATCTTCGAGATCCAGGAGAATATACATCGATAGCGAAACATAGATGTGCGTCTACCTAATGAGAAGAGCCGACGACAGATGGACGAAAAGAACAGTAGAGCGGACACTAAGAGAATGCAAACGTCCTCTTGGACGACCGCTTACACGTTGGGTGGGCGTGTTCGTAAACAAAGTTAATCAGCTGTACCCGCACCTACAGTTGCTTTACAAATCACGGTATGAGACGCACGCGCTAACATGCTCGAACAAGACCACCCACCATGGACTAGGAATGCGAGAGAAAGGAACGAATGGCATATGTGCTGGGGTCCGCATAGCTCGTGAAGACGGACCGTCGAAGTAGGTATCCAAGTAATTTCGAATTATACCATCTTCACTTTGCTGATGACATCGTCGTTATAACACCAAACATTAGCCAAGCGGAACGTATGCATGATGACTTTGATAAAGCCTGTGGAAAGATTGGTCTTCGACTAAATCTCACAAAAACGATATTCATGAGGAGCGGATTAGTTTCGCATGCCCCATTCACGCTCAACAGAACGAATATCTCCGAATGCTCCAGTTATATCTATATAGGTCGGGAAATCAATATAATGAACGACCTAGCTCCGGAGTTGAGCAAAGGAAACCAGCAGCTCGAGGAGCTTTCAAGTGTATCAAGAATGTGGTGAAGAGAACAAAGAACGCTCGACTCTCTGCCTCCTTTTCTACTCAACGATGTTTCCTGCTTTAACGTATCTGTCAGAAACCTGGTCGCTGCGTATACAGGATGAAAGATCGGCATTATTGAACGTGTAGTCGAAAGGACGATACTAGGAGTATCCCGTTTCACATAAGGGAAGGGATCCGAAGCTCCGACCTGCGTCAACGATCAAGGATCAAAGATGCCGTTCCTTACGCCAAACAGTCTAGGATAAGGTGGGCTGAACACATAATGCGTGTGAGCGACAACCGATGGACAAGCGCGGTTAGTGACTGGATTTATCGGGTTATCAAACTTACTGCAGGAACGCCACCGATCCGATGGTCAGAGTTCTTCACGAAAAAGCCTAGAAGAAAGACGAGCTAGAGCAAACAAGACCCACTGGGCTACTTTCGCACACAAGAAAATAGAGGATTTACTGGTGCCCGCTTGAGTCAATCGACGACCATCCGGACTACAGGTGATACTAGTGTTGAAGAGGTGGGAGGGGGTTCTGCGAGGTTGAACGCTATGCATTTTCTTGAGCCAAATGGAAGGCATATCGTAGACAAGTACGCTGTACTCCCACTCTATTCCATCATCTACTACTGTATCACCACTCCTACCGCCGATCATCTGGTCACCTGAGCGAGCGCCAGTAAACCGTTCATTTCTCCCTATCGTGCGCCAGGGCGTCTCTCGCTCTAAGGGCTCGTTGGGCATTACATCTTCCCTCTATGGTTTTCGTGAAGAACTCTGATCAACAGAACGATGGTCGTCCTGCTATGCCTTTGACTTACCGATGGATCTTGTCGCTATCGACTCATGTCCACTGGTTCTCTCTACAGTGTACAGACTATTCTCTGACCTAATGATTATTGTAGGAGTGCAAGTTGTTCTTTACAATGCTCTCTCTGCAAAGCAAACTGAAAAAAACCCGATGATGCCAAAAATCTTTACTCCACATGTGATAACATGCGAGGTTTTTCTCTGGGTTCCGCATGAGATTCGTACAATGTTAATTTAGTAAATGGGTCAACCATCCATGGACCATAACATACCATTCTTTGAATGTAACATGAATAGTTTTTAAAACGAAGAACATAAGTGAAATACTCTTCATCGCTTAAGAAGCGTGTTGTGAGAGTCTGTAACATGCCTTTTCACTGTGTACTAGAACAAGGTTGAAGATTGAGCACTAAAATTTTAGGTATTCGAAGAATTGGTGTCACAGCTGCGATATATCGATACGACGAATTGGAGCAAAGAACACGGTTCCGAAAACTCGAAAAACTTCTTTTGCTGCTTTTTATGAATCCTGAAAAGAGCGTCGTCCAGAAAGCGGACTTTATGTTGAGATTGTAGCAGGTATTTTGCTCTACGGAGAAGTCAAGTCCTCATATGATTACGATATGAAGCAATAAAACTACTATTTATGTGCAGAATACAACGTCCATTCAAGCAGATACTTTGAATTTAAAAGATTTAATGACAATAAGAACATCTTTAAGCATGCAAAAATACAAGCTGCCATTTAATACGCATCACTTTAGTAGAAGATGAAAGAAACAGTCGACTTCTTTAAGCATAAGAGGTGAATGACAATAAAAATGGTTTCAAACATGGAAAGCAGACACTCTGTCGGGCACAAGGAAATCCTGCTTGCCTTACGGAAGGGTCAGTGCCGTCAATGCGCACTTGCACTGGCCGAATACACCTGTATCCGTGTTTTGCCAGTCATTTCTAGGTAGCCCGACAGAAAATACACGGATATACCTTGATGTAGATTCAATACGCTTTTAATGTCCTACTATACAACCAAGGAAAGATTGTTTCGCAGCAATATGAGCAGTTGGGCACAGTATTATCAAAGCTGTGACCGGAACGTTCATTTCGTGTCAAACACCCCGCATGCGTTCAGAATCAGTACGATGATGACCGCCACCACGAATAATCCAACCAATACGGCAATGATAGTCCATTTCGCGCTCAATAAGCACATATGGCGCTGAACGCGATGTGCTGTGAGTTTGAAAGTCGCCGACTGAAAACGAAAGCATCATAAACTCAAATCACCCTGGCGCGATGTGCCCTTGGTTGCATGAAACACATAAATTTTTAACGAAATTGCAATGCACATTAGCAATTCTTTCCATGTATAGCACAAAGAATAAAGGATAACCCTCTAGGCGTTGATCAATCCCTGAGGGATGCGCCATGCATTCGACTTCATAAAGCAACGTTTGGAGGTGAATGAATGCATATCTGGCCTTTACAATGACTCGCAGTGGCTTGCCGATGTACCGAGCCAGTGCTGCTATCCTCCCAGACAAGTCTGGTACCAATTTGCCGACCCCGGAGAGATGGAAAGCTTGGTGGGCCATGAGCGGGAGGACCGATTCCAAATGTGTGTTGCAGGGCGCCTCCAACCACTGCGCCACACGCACCATCTGGTAGGGGTGCAAAATCTCAAGCAACTATGTGAACAAAAAGTAATTTGTATGTTTCGCAAATTAGAGCTTCCGCATGAGCGTCGACTTATCAGAGTAACTTCATTGAGATCGTACCCGCACAAGTGAGATGAAAATCAAAATCTGACCGAGGCCTGTAGTTCATCCGTTCGTCTTTCGATACTATCTAGTCGTTCTCCACGTTCCATTATGGAAGCAACGTTGGAGGCCATAACCTAGAAAAAGAATTGAGTAAGACTAAAATAACAAGAGCCGAATATGAGCTCAATGGCATTTCCCTACAAATTGAAACTTTTTGGAAATGACGGTAAAAGAACTTACGGATTTCACTTCCTCTACTTGACGGCGCATATCTTTGAGTCGCTCATCTTGTGGAGGATGTTGTGAGGTGTGTATCATCTGTATTAAAGAAAATTGGCAGAAATATTGAAACCTGACAACTAGAAGACGAAATAATGGCCTCACAATATTGTAACTTATAATTAATGTTAGGGGAGCGTGTAGCGCAGTAGCGGAGGCGCCATACAATACACATGAGCACTGGTTTGATACATCGATAAGCCATCATGAGTCATTGTGAAGGCCAGATATGCATTCAGTCACCCCTAACAATGCTTAATGAAGTCGAATGCATGACACATCCCTCAGGTTATTAAATTAAGTTCCACAACACAAAATTCTATTTGCCTGTATCATTCAAATCGATGCTTTAATTTTCATTTAAGCTCTTACCTTAAATAGGGCAGCGACTGAACAGGTGGTACTTTATCCAGCGGGACGTTGTGCTGTTCACGAATACTTCGCTAATATTTACGACCATTTGGCTTATATTAAGACTAATCCATTACGGATGTGCTATGCATTCGGCTTCATAAGGTGATTGAATGCAGGTCTGACCTTTGAAATGGCTCGTGGTGGCCTACCGATGTATCAAGTCATAAAGTACTGCTATAGACCGAGATAAGTCCATTACTAATTTGTAGAACTCAGAGGGATGGTGGGTTTGAGATCTCGTGGCATATGACCGAACCAACGACAATGTGTGCATTGCAGTTCACCTCTAACCATTGCCATTGTTCTACATGAACCCCGTATATATAAAGTATACATATATATATGTATACATATACATATGCGCACGTGTATATACATAGTATATGTATATGTATACATAAATCCTTCCAACAGTTTACCACCTGGCTGGGAAGTGTTCTTGGGTGTCGAGCTGCGATGTACAGCAGGGGCATTCAACCTCCCAACAGGATCCCCAAGCTGAGAAAGAGTTTGGCATTTCCATCAGGAAGCCTAGGTAAGAGTAAACCAATAGCAGGATCGACCACCGTCTTGCTATCAAACTATTCGCATACTGGCAAATCTCTCTCTGTTATGCAAGGGCGATGAGTGCCTGTGGTGGTGGCGACCTAGAGTAGACTGGCTTGGACGACCTCGGAACTTCGCGGAACCATAATGTATAAACAAGCAAAACTCTAAAAAAATGATAATTATGCTAGGGCCCGCACAAGCAGTGAGGAAGGGCTATCCAAGTATTCCAAGTATAAGTATATCTTAGATTGTTCAGAAATAAATGAGCGTTTTTAACTATATTATTTGAAATGTCATAACTTGCTTCAAATATAAATTTATGGATCAAAATAAGAACCATTTAAATCTACACATCTTTGCCAAGAGAAACTTATTTATTTATCCCAGTTGTATAGAATTCTGGAGTACCGGGAGCGACAAATTCGTTGGAGGCATTTTTTACGTCATCGTGGTTGGTTAAGCATTTCTCGCGCAGGAAGTTGTCAAAGGTGCTTAAAGAAGTGATGGTGGGTAGGCGAGAGGTCTGTGAATATGGCGGATGAGACAAAAATTCATAACCCAACTCGTTCAACTTCTGCAGCGTTGGCTCCGCAACGTGAGGCCGGGCATTGTCGTGGATTGGTTCTTTTCTGTTAACTAATGCCGGTCATTGTTGTTGTTGGAGTTTACGGTGCATTTCGTCGATTCCTTGGCAATACTTCTCTGCCGTAATCGCTTCGCCTGGAATCGAAAAGCTGTGGTGAATCAGCCCGGCTGCAGACTACCAAACAGTCACCATAACCTTTTTGAGGTGCAATTTTGGTTTTCGGAAGTGCTGTAGAACATGATCGTAATCCAACCATTGAGTTGAACGACGCCGGTTGTCGTACAGAACCTAACTCCTTTCGCACGTCTCAGTTCGATCAAGAAGAGGATCGGTTTTGTTGTGCAGACTAAAAGCAGACGACAGTCCAAAACGGTGATTTTTTGATTAATGTTTAAACCGTGCGGCACCCACTTGTCGAGTTTTTTGTCCTTCCTATGCGATTCAAGTGAGTGGAAATTGTTTCTGTGCTTATGCTAAGCTGTTCTGGAATCTCTCGAACGGTTCTTCGTATGTTTGCTTCCAGTAGTGCCTTCAATTCGTAGTCGTCTAGTTCATTGGGACGCCCGCGGCCTTCCTTATCTTCGAAGTCGAAATTACCAGATCAGAATTTCCGGGACCATGTTCGCATTGTTACCAACACTACCTTCACCTCAAACTTCAACAATGTTTCGAGCCGTCTCTACTGCACTGCGACCGAGTTTGAACTCATAAAAGGAATTCTTCGTATTTTCGTTGAGCAAACGCGAGGTGTTACTATTCTCTGTTCACGATTAAGCTGACGTTTCGGCGGATTTCGCCTTCCTCAGAGCCTGGAAAGGTCAAGTTGATAGCAATCCACTCGGCCAGACGCCTCCATAACCAAACAAAGAAACTCCAAACCAAGATTTCAATCACATTAAACACAGCTTTGCACACTCACCGCTTTCTATGAGTCTCCCACTAAGTATGTCATAAAAGGAAATTTGACGAAAATTCGTTTTTGACATCCAAAATTGCAATGCTCAAAAATGGCAGAAAAAAACTGAAGTTTTGACAAAATAATGGTTATAAAAAGCAAAAAATCGGCTTTCTAACGATATATAATATTGCAAGGCATAAAGGATATTTTATTGGTAAAAAATACATTAAAACAATAAATATCTTAAAACGCTCATTTATTCCTGAACAACCAGCATGAAGATCTCAGCTGACAATATGCTTCATTAATAAAAACAAGTATACACATAATCTGATAACATGATATTCAATGATATGTGTAATGCTGACCGGTGGTCAGAGTTCTTCACGAAAAGCCTAGAAGAAAGATATGATGTTCATAGAGTACCTAGAACGAGCAAAACCCACTGGGCTACTCTTGCCCCCGATAGGGAGAAATGGAAGATGAATTGGCGCCCGCTCAAGTCACTCGACGATCAACGGGAGGTGATACAAGTGATGTGCAATGTCATCTAATTTTTGGAACCCACGAAACGTCTTTTCGTTCTTTCCTACAAGCATGATGTGAAGATCTCACCGAAAGTGTCATCAATACGCCATATTGTTGCACTGACACTGGACTTTCTAATTCCAATAATCACGCTTCATTCCTAATTTTTTGAAAATAGCAAATTCGAAAAAAAATTTCGCTTCTGATATTTTTAAAATAGTAAATTCAAAAAGAAATGAGAATAAAATGACACCTTAGAAAAGGTATTTATAGCGTTTGGACGGTTCAGGAATGCCTCTCCTATCAGCAGAACAAGTTCTCAGCTCTTCAAGAGCTGTCTGGTAATCGATAAAACTATCGGCAGTTGTTGGAAAAGCAGCTGGTCGTCAATGTGTAGAATAGTATGCACAGTGTAATGATGCAGAGATAAACCCTGAATCGTCGCGAACATTCCATCAGCTATCAGGTTTCTGGTTATGTGACCTCGGAAAACGCTTCACATAAGAGGACCAGTAACTGCAGCACATAAAAAATCCCTTCCTCCTCACATGCTATTCATGGCGTAGGATGACAACATAAGCAGGAAATCGAGTGAGTTCCTACAAATCGCCTTGTGGGACAAGCTGCACACTCACATTCTAATTCCATGAATGCCGCCATTCCAAGCGTTCTTGTATTATCACGTGTATATTCATGAAACATAGAAATATATGTAACGAATAATCTATGACAATTAACGAGACGGTGAATTTGATTCGTTTTTAAGTTGGTTATCACGTAATAGAAATGTAAGGCTGAGACTTACTTAGTTACTTGGATGGCCCTTCTTCACTAGTTGTGCAGGCCCCATCATAATCACCATTCTCCGGAGATTTGCTGGTTAAGCCATTGTGGTTCCCTGGAGAACCGAGGTCAGCCTGGCCAAAGTCTGTCCCAGGTCTTCACGACCATAGGCGGTCACAGCCCTTGTGAATCAGAGGGAGATCTGCCACAATGTCGGAGTCCTTCTCAGCTTGGCAAACCCATCTGGAGTGAAAGGATTCCCTCCGCTGTACATTGTGGCCCGACACCCAGGAACACATCACAGTCATGATGACGCGGTAGGCATTGCAAGGAAGGAGAAAACGAGCATGTCAAAAAGGCTTTGTACGAATAGCACGTTATGAACTACCTTTAAGATTGCTTTTTAAAACCCAATACCCGTCCGATGAAGGGTTTTAAGATGAGAATTCGAAAGGAAACCCTTTTCAGTAAAAAATAAGACAAGCATTCCGGAACATTGATTTGCTCACCATATGTTATTCACGACGCTGAAAATGCTGTTTAAGTTATCATTACATCACCTTCTCTTTTAACGAATATAAAAGTAAGCTAAAGTACTACAAACGCCTATTCAAGCACAAAAATCATTTAGATTCTCATGCAGACTGAGTTCCAGGTTTCAAAAATCCTACTCTTAGTAGAAAAGTGGAAAAATAGAAGAGTAGCCGAAAGGATATCCTAAATCAGTTGAAGACTGCCATTTACGACCTAAACCACAGATCGATAGAATTAGCTGAGAGACAGGTGAAACGAAGGACCCGCATGGTGTGGTGGTGAACGCGTGTTCGTTCCTCACCGCAGACACCTGCGCTCCGGAGTTTTGCAAATATCTCAGCATTATGGTATAGCATTATAGTAGTTATATTTCGCAAAAATACTCTGCCGTTAAAAAGAATAGGCAGTAAAAAAGGGTTAATATTGTTACTAAACTACAGTGTTTTTACAGAACTACTAAACGAGAAACAACGAACAAAGAAGTCGCTGGCCGATGACGGTGTGAGAATTCTGTGCTGATAACACTGAGTCAATAAGTGGTGCGTAATGTAGAAGGAAAAGCAAAACCACAGAAAACTTGAAATATGGAATGGGAAAGTGGGAAAACGCATGGGATGTAATGTTCGCCAGTACGGTAGCTGTGAATCCAAACTCCAAAAAACTAGCCGATCTTATCAAACTGTGGCAAGCCGAATTAACAAAGCATTTCGCCGATGTCCAAGTCACTGCACGTTCACAAATGGCATTTGGTAAGCGGAA